CTTAAGCAAATTATATATAGCATGAAGCTATTTAGTACTGTTATAAGATAAGTAAAATCTGTAAGATTGACTTATCTTCTCCGAGGAACTGTCAACTGTTGTGCAAGGACCATGGGATCGAATTGGTGGATACCTGAGACGTCCTCGGTGGTGATATCTCTCAGATAATGGTTGGCAACCACCATATCGGATCTACAGTAATAAACCCTCCATTATTTCAAATAACATTTGTGTAGATGAAATTGTAGAAGTTAGCTCTAATATCAAGAGTATTAAAGCTCATGGAGGGTCGGATTAGGTCCATCTGTCTTGTATGCACGTTAGTATGACAGTTCTGATCCAAACAGAGATATAGTACGTTGAGACTACACTCTCGTGAAGTTGATGATAGAGGAAAAAATCTGTTGTATTTTTCCTTCCTGTTTGGTTTGGTGGAGATAAATTTACAGTGCTCTTGCTGGCCAGCGTGATAGCATCATCGTATCATGGAGTCCAAGTATGTCATCCAGGCATGTTCATAAACCTCACTTGTGAGGTGTTGTAGCACTATATTCATATCCCCAAGTTGGTACGTGAAACTTCCGTTTATTCTCCAAACAGAAACTTAGTAGGTTTACTAACCATCTAGTTGTGTTAGTAGCTTGATGATGAAATTCAGGTGTAGTCTGAAACGCTGTGGATTTCGATCCACTTGTATCACGTCATCTAGGTAAATCGCTATGCATGTCCTTTTGACGATGTATGTGCACAACCGAGTTTGTGTCCTCGATGAACTTTATGTAAAATCGCCTGACTGCTGTGCCCTTGTCTAAACTTGACAGGGGAGGTCTCTAACCTGAAGAAAGCAGCCTAATCATGAAGGTTCAGGTTAACTGGGCTGTAAGGAGGCTTGCTCGTTCATTGATATAAAGTTGTCACTTGCAACCTATGTCTTGAACTGTGAACTATGCTCGACCTCTGTGTAGGGTTGTTCATCGGGTCCAATCAGAATAAGGCATTTGATTCTGTAGAGTACCAGCTGTGATGTCACCGGTGTAGCAGGAAAAGGAACCTTGTATAATATAGTGCCGTCGTTGATATTAGAACAATCGCCGGTCTTCATCGTAACTTCCGAAGTTACCCGAGTGACCACGTGTTTCGAGGATTAATGGTAAACGCCAGCAGCTTCGCGCAAAAATACCTCGCTCTGTAATATTAATGCTGGGTAGGTTATTTTCCTGGCTGTCGTGAAAGTACTTCAGTTTTGAATATAATTCGACTTCTTTATATATAAAGGTACAATAACTTGTAAGTTGTCAGCTTGTAGACTGTATACATGAATGTATCGTCATAATTGTAGAATTAAAGCTGAATTTGTTGTACATATTTCTTCTCAGAAATGTTGACGATTATGAGTTATACTTCGCTGTAACAAGGCTGCTGTTCAATTTCGAAATTGAATTGTCTGCAGATATGCGTAATGGTCACGCATGTAGATAATCGTATCGTCGTCCGGGATTGCATATACTAGCAATTTATACGGAATAGTTGATTTCTGTGAAGATCTATGAAACGTCGTTGACAAATTAATACAGCGGCGTTCTGTGTTGTAAATAGCCTGTGCAATTGTCTTCGCCAGAGGCTTATAGATTCGGCATCTGGCATACAGTTGATAGACAACTTATGCGATGTCTTGAACGGACTGAGGAGTAGCTATATATGACGAGTGGCTAGTATATGGAGACCTTGGAGGAGACTTCCTCGGTGAACGCCGGAGACTTCACGAAGCTCTCGAAGTATCCCTTCTAGATCTACTGGTGAAGTAGACTTGGAGCCACTTAGCCTTCAGCGACCTTCGCGAAGGTATCGAGTCAAAGTCCGATTAGAATATATATATATATATAAGGCTTGCCCGAATGGCCTCTGTGTTTAACAGGATGTGGGGTCGGCGGCGGCTTCTCCTCCGGCGACGTCCCTTGTAGCTGGTGAGGCTCTAGCTCCTTCGCGGAGGCTGCCTGGGACTTGCTGGTTCTGCATAAGTAGGGCCGAGTGGATCATCTTATCATTTTCAGAAGTCGTGTTACTTAAATCTGGTGATAAGTGTCTCAATGATCGTTCTAGATCTATTTAGGCCAACGAACATACGCCTCGTCATGGATTCAACTGAACCAATTTACGATTGTAGTTCTTATTGTTGATATCGATGATCAACTTGTAGTTTTCATCGATGTCTTAGGCCTTGAAGAAGGGGTCCATGTTGTGCGTGGAAAACTTCTAGGCGCGTGAAAGTTCGGCAATTATGGTGTCTGAACTTTTGTGGCTTTATGGGATGCTATGTCTAGATTCTGTGCTACCGCAGCAATCGGTCGATCGGAGGTAGGGTGATAGCATCTGCATCGTCTTCCTTCATCAGGTATGTCTGCATCGTACTGCCACTCTAGGAAGGTGATGTAGACTTGTGTGCAGACTTGTGTGGTAACCTGTGAGGCGATCGATGTGGTGATGTACTGCGAGGAGATCGGAGACTATTGACAGCTTCGCTGAAGCTCTTGAGTAGTCCCTTGACTCTGTTAAATGGCGATCTATATTCGGGTGTCCTTCCCGAAAGTGCCTGCCTGCCTTCGCGAATGCCTTTCGAAACGCCTTCCGAGCACGCCAGCGAAGCTTCCTCTGCGTTCGGGTGCTGGGGAGCGGCGATTTGAGCTTCGCGAAGGCTTCCGTGAGGTCTGGTGGCTGAGTCTGCATCTAAGGATGAAGCCGAGGAATGTGATGATCTATCCGCCAGCGAAGGCCTTCGCGAAGGCTGTACATCTGGGTCCTTCGTCAAGGTGGTCTGCGACTTCCTTCGAAGGCTGCATCGTCTTGGCTGCTACGTTGACTGGAGGTGCCTCTAGAGTGTTGTCTAAGTTGGAGCCTTCGCGAAGGCTCGGTACTCTGGGCTGGCTGCTTCTCCAGTCTGTAGTGACCCTCCATCACGACCATGATTTGCCCTAGTAGCTCGTCTGGGATGGTCTGCGACGAAGTAGTCGGTGCCATCTCTGCGCTGTTAGTGGTGGGGCCCTCAGGTAAGTCGTCTGACATCAGTGTAGAGACATCAGGCTGCATGGCGATCTCTGCTGATGTCATTGTAGCTGTCACTGGTCGCTACTTGTCTCATACGTCGGGGATGATGATCGGCTGATCATCGTAGAGGCCAAGTTCAGCGGCTGGAACAATCTCGGTTGAGAAAGTCCTAGTAGACTTCGTTGAATTCCCCTCAGAGGTCGACGCTGCCCTGGGGGTGCGAAGTCTGCGTTGAGTGTTGGTAGCGACGGGACCCTCAGGAAGATCATCGAATGTTGATCTGCGCTGACATCACTGTTGCCGACATCAGTCATTCTTTGATGTACATCAGGAATGATGATCGGCTGATCATCATACAGGCCCAAATCTGCGATGAGAACAATCTCGGCTGAAAAGTTCTAGTAGACTTCGTTGAATACCCCTCAGTCGCGACGAAGGGATGTCTGGGGAAGCAGGGCGCTTCTTGGAGGCGGCGGACTACGTCCCACGCCTCTCCACCACTCTAGCGGAACACCAGACGGGAGGGGGTCGACCAACAGCAGTAGACTGGCGAGGGGTTCAGGTGTATCAGTCATGGCTAGACTCTGCATACGTGACCTATCTGCTGCACGTCTCAAACGCAAAGTAATTATTTATTAAAGGTAGAATTGGATAAATTAGTATCGCGAACTGCAACGTGAATCACATGAAACATGGCGCAGTACAGCTAGGGCATATTAAATGCGGATCAGCAGCAGAATAAAAAGCGTAATGTGCAACAGTACAGAATTTTTATCAACGTAATCCACTGCAACAGCACGGCGTCCGTGCATAAACAGTAGAAACACCGACTAAATATCAATATATAATTGTTGAAAGATACTAGCTAAACCTCTATAGATCTCTATACGAGGTAACTAACTAAATATAATCAAAGGATATAGTGTGTCGGGAGACACAGGCGCTCTCACGTCCAGCTCACTGGGCGAAGAAGGAGAGAGTGCGGCACATGGGTAGAGGTGGCGCCCTCGTTCACGCGCTTGTGGAAGGGAGGTAACTCGTGGTGTACTAATTAGTGATTTTACATTGAAGGGAACTTCAATTAGGGAGATACAAGTGTTCCACTATGTTCGCAAGAGGAAGGAGACAAGCAAAAAGAGCATGAGTCAGGATAAGGAAAAATATGACGTATTGGACTACAAATTTGCTAAGTATAGAATTCAATTCAAATAGAGAAACAAAGCTCCACAGCTCACCATAATGCCTGATGTATTAATTATAGATCAGTTCATCAGAAAAACAGATGATAGTATTGATACAAGTTATCCACTCAGAACAAAATCTGCCAAGGACAGAAATGTTTAAATAACAGGTTTATTTACTGCATGTTCAAAATCACATTTTACATTTCACAGGTTGCGGCTGCCATTATTGGTTCAAACTTCTGTATGAACTTAAAATGCACACTTGCTGTGACCAAACAAAAGTTTCAAAAGTGTAGTTTCAAACCTCACCAAACAAAACTACACCTTCTGGAAACACTTTAATTTGGACATCTCAGTGTATTTAGAAATTACTTGTACAAATAAACTCTAAGTGGTTCTGTGACATCTGACTGGCTATAAACCAAGCAATTTCTTTTGCTTACACCTTGATAACCACCTCCCACACCTCCCCCAAAGCTCTAAAACCCCCAAACATCTGCCACTGAACTGATTACAGCCTGTCAACAGAAGGGCAGTTGGAAATGAAACATTGCTGATCCTACCAAAATACTCCAAAGTTAAGCCACTACAGTGGAATTCTGACCTAACTGGAAAAGTGAGAAGTAATGATGACTGTTCACTCACTGAAGAACAATAAACCTTAATAAAGATCTTCGTTCAAATGAGATCACAGTTTGCACATCATTATTTTTATGACACATATAATGAAAATACATAGGTTGAAAAGAGTTTGATAATGATCTGTTTACTCACATCTAATTTTGAATCCAGTTCATGATCTGAGGCCACAACATGCTCATCTTCCTTCTTGCCAAGTTTCTGTATAACTGCCTGCTTTGTGGTCCAGTAGGTTTCCTTCATCTTGTGGAATGTTGAAGTGTTTGTGTTTTCAACCTGCCGGTCATAGTTCATTCCAGAGTACCCACGAGTTCTGAAAAACAAGGACTACTCATACAGCATCAGTCTAGAAGGTTGGCCACAGTGGTGACTTTGGTCATACAAACAGGCAATAGTCCTATAAATCAACCAATGTGCACTAAGTGCAATACAATAGATACTTATTTTTGAAACCATATTTATGCCACTGGAGTTGGAAAATTAGTCATGAAAAATTTTCACGAAGGAACAACAAGTTAACCTTGAAGTCTATATGCAAAAGAATTCAGTGTGAATCCATCAAATAAATGTCATTAGCTTATGAATACAAATTACATACGAATCAATACAAGTTACTGCATGGTAATTACAATGGCAGTATCTGACAAAGTGTCAACACAAACTTCAATGGCAACACAATAATTAAGGCAGTATGCAATAATATTTCTGTGCCATCACATTTGTTTCTGTTTTAGTCAGGGAAGGTTACATTTCACCATTCTGTCTTTTGTATCCTGCTTCTGACTATGTTTTGTTAATAAACTGCATGAGTTTGAGAGACATTGATGTTATTCATTGGTAGCAGCGCTGAGCTATCTCACATCGAAATTCTACCAAACAGGAACACAGTGACATCATTTACCTTCACATTTCTGCTATTGGTCAGCTCATCTTGTCTCAGAAAATACTCAAGACATTGTAGTGGATGTGCAAAGACAAATAGTGACCTTAAGCAAAAACTTGGCTCAAAATCTATGCAGTGGCAATTAACCCAAAACGAAACTCTTAGTTCCTATTAGAACTGGCAGCAGAATTTGATTTATATTTTGCCTTTGGATGAGAATTTTGCACCCTTTCGTGCCAAATATTTCCCATGGCGTGAAAAGACTGTGGTTGACACTTTAGTTAGACTGTGGTTGGACTAACTTTATGCAGCAAAATATCCCAAAAAACATCCTCAGGTCTGAGTTCAATACAAACTCATCCTCAGTGATGATTGTTTCTACGTCTCTAATGGTATCCCATCTCAATATATGTTTGGCCCCAAGACTGCGCATGCATGACGTGTCGATTTCGGGGCAAAATAACATTCTTTCTGCCTGAACACCTTATTTTTCCCCACCGAGAAGAAAGCTAGGCCTTAAGGATAGACTGGGCAACTACCAGGGACCCCAAATCTTGGGTCACATCCCTCAGGTAAACACTGTGAATGCGTCTGGTGACAACCACTGGCAAGCTGACATTATCTGTTGTAGAGACTGTCCTCCATGAAGCTAAGGATGAGACATTTGATTCTTGGCAAGGAAGGATCTTCCAAGAATGCATTTGATTGTATATCTAAAGGCATACAATTCTGAAATTTGTGATGCTGTAGCTTGTGCCATAAGAAAGGCAGTCTTCCACGCAAGATGAGATAAGGGTGCTTTTTCCCTAGGTTCCAAAGGATGATGTAATAATCCTGGTAATACATCGATAACTCCCATTCCATAGCCATGCGTTGCTTTGGGATATCGTCTAGTTGAAAGGATTGTAACATACTGGTAAGAACTCGATGTTTTCCAACATCAGGATCCCAGAGCTGATAACAATGCCCTATTCGATGTATCAACAAGGAGGCCTCTTGGCTAACTGAAGACAATATCCCTCTTTGATGACCTTAAGGATCCACTGGCCGTTTGGTATGATCTTCTAATTCTCTACAAAAGATGCTAAATGGCCGCCCACTGGACCCTGTACTACCTTCACTAGCGATGCTGGTATCTGTTTATATTAATCATTGTGTTGAGTCCTAGCTTCAACTGACTTAAAGATTTATGAAGAGTCAACTGGATTTAGGTCCAGACTTGCCATCTTCAGTGGCTGGGAAAACTTTCCATCATCCATCCTCTGGATGGATATTCTTAGGCTTGCTCCTGCTGTTCTGACAGAGATCGGTACAGATTAGAACTTTAATGGGCATCCTGAGTGACAGAACCAGAAAATCACATGGCCATTGACTCATATTTTCTTGATCAGGTATGAAATAGTAAATATCAGTGTGCGTCCTTCTACCCAGTCTTTAGCATACATATTCCTTGTTGCAAACTTCCAAATGTACAAAATGACGCCCATTTTTGTATTGGTTTTATGTACAGGGACTAATGTAAAAAACGGCTGTGATCTGTATCCTAGAGTTCTGTATGACAGAGTTGTCCAAAAGCTTCTAAATAGGCAAAGTTTTGACCTTCCAGATAAAACCCACTGGTCAGGAGATAATATCTATTTGTTGATGGAAAATTACTGTGTGTCCTTTTAGAACAAACAAAGAATCAAGTGGATGGACATTATGTGTTTCCAATTTCCATCAAATGTCAGCAATCATCCCCCTACTGGTCCTGTAGTTACTCCTGTAGTTGGTGTTTACTTTGGTAAGTAGTGAAGTAGTGAGGTTACTAAGGGTTCCAAATGATGTGGTTCATGGACAATCAGCAGCAGCAATCCTTTGCAGCATAAATCCATCTCACTCACTCATGCAAATGAGGTGCTGTCACAGGCTTGTTCAAAACGTCTTTGTGTGCTCCAAGATCACCTAAGCTTGATATTTGCAAGAGAAATTGCTGACTCTGTATCAACATAAATTTGTTGGACATCCGTGTTTGGGTGGTAAATAACTTAACAATGCAATCCAGCTTCTCCCGGTGGAGTCTTTGGGTGGTGGTGATATGATAACTCCTGCCACAAACCAATTGATGGAGGCCCTCATATGGGAGGTTCAGGTCAAGGGCAATAATGAGTGCAGTACATTCAGCATTTCAAAGTAGGAGGTGATAGTTCTTTGCCACTTATCAATTTTCCAATGTAATAATGGCGCATAATTTGGCTGTGGAAGAATCAAGTGCCTCTGCCTGGAAACAGAGGACCCATGTAGATCTCTGCTGTGTTTTACAATATATTTGAGACTCCACCTTGTCCATTTTGTGTTGGAGATGTTTTGGTCAAGAATGAAATTGTGATGGTATAATAAAAAACACAGAAATGGAATTGACAATAGTGTAATTTCCAGCTTCCTACTGGAAAGAAACATTTGTTTAGTAGGGCTGCAACGAATACACTATGTGGCGAATATGATATGTATCATGAATATTGGGTAACGAATACGAATAATTATTCATGAATACAATATTGTAGTTAAGTGATTGATGCACAATATGGAACGCCCATGTTGACAGTGTTAATTTGTCACAGCAATAATCAGTGATCTCATGACACTCAGATTTGGTATGTAATAGTTTATGGTCGAGGAGCACCTTTAGAATACAGCACCACAACTTCTCGTGAGGACGATCTCTGCCGTAGGTCACGTGTCATTAAGACAAGCAACCAGTTTGTGAGAACCCGTCGGACGCGAACCCGCGACCTTCGGATTGTTAGCTTGACAGCTAACCGACTGAGCTACGTCCACACTGTTGCACAATGTGCAAATTTATCGAGTCATTCCTGTGACATCATGGAAATGAACGGAAAGAGTCGAATAGGTCACGGACATTTGCGAAGGTTACGGGTAGACTTGGTGTCTCGTGATTTAAGCTACGGACTATTGCCGAATGGACCCGATGCCATTTGGCACACTCGTCCCATTCCGTAATCTACAAATTCACGTGTGGCGTGGAATGAGCCGATATGCCTCAAACTAAAAAGGGTTGTTGACGTCAGAATGACGCGCTTTTATATAAATCGGTGATTTTGTGACAGAAAAGTGATGTAGGGAACACTGTAAGGATAATGTGGATCGCACTAAGGAACGAGGGAGACATGAGCATGTGTAGTGACGGCACGAGGGTGAGTTAGCCTTCGAATCATAACTGAACAAATGTTGTGTGAAAGAGGCTTGAGTGCAAATTCCAGGCCAATTTCCATTAGCCCAAAATTTCTACATTAAACCATTTCATAGTGTAGTTTCGACGTTTTTGGTTTCCCGTTTTTGTGTGAAAAAAAGTATTAAAATGCAAAAGGAAAAACAACAAATGGTACTCACGTATTACACCGGACATGTACCTACTACATTGGATTAGGTCCCTAACCCTAACCCTAAACCCTCAGCCCTAACCCTAATCCCTTGAAATAATCCTAATAAATAGAATGCATTGACCGAACCACCGGACATGTACCTACTATATTGGATTAGGTCCCTAACCCTAACCCTAAACCCTAACCCTAACCCCTTGAATTAATCCTAATAAATAGAATGCATTGACCGAACCGGCACAAACATGACTGGCGTGTCTAGTGTAATGCATTATTACCGCTTCGAAAAATAAAATACTAATAAAACACTTTTCTATGCAATGGTGCAAATTACTGAATGACAAATATGTATATGTAAATTTTAAAAATACAAAATACACAAAACATAACACCTCAGCACCCCGTAATACAAATAAATATGAGCGTATAAGTGAAAAAAAAAAAATTCAAACTGGTGCTTGCAAAATATTACGCATCCGCCGGTATACAACTACTGGAAACTCTCAACATCGTTGGGCTTATGCAATGACATAGCTCGTAGAGATGAAACACCAGTGAGCGGAGCTTATACGCACTCGCTGAGCCAGACAACCGTGTTGCCATGCAGGCGTCATAGGGCATTGTTTCGAGAACGTGCTTTCGAACAAAATCACATTACATTACATAAAAGGGTATTATGACGTATTTTTAAAGTTTGTGGTGCTGTATTCTAAAGGTAGGCCATGGTCGACAGTACCATGTGTGGCCTTGGCAAACTAACAGGCCTTGTGCTGTTGCAAGGCTTGTACATATTCCATAATTGCATATCTCACTTTGAAAAAGGACATAAGGGTTCAAGTGAAACACACTCCTTTAAAAAAATTTAAATATTCATTAATATTCGGTTCTGGTGACCACGAATAATGAGTTGAATTCATGAAGGGCTTCTGTTCGATTCACCGATTATGCGAGTAAATCGTAACAGCCTTATTGTTTAGTGTTTGAGACAGCTGCTGTGGTGCGAAGAGTTTAGACATCACTCATATGAATGAGTCAAGTTATTCAGTCATGTAAATCTTCTCATATGTTTCTATTTTGATAACCAAGGACTGTCCTAAACATGATAAAAGCAAGTGTACTTACGACATTTTGCTCTCACAGACAATCTATGTGTATTGCAACTCAATTCTTCCCAAGTATACCTCTGCTGCATCAAATCTGCAAATAGAATACAATAATGGCGTGATACATGTTCCCAAGCAAGCAAAGTGTCAAAAAACAGTTTGTTTTATTCTGAACAGATAGGTCCAATAAAATGTGTAAAAGTCAAAATACAAGGAGAAATATATTGTAAAACAAACTCATGATGGTCCTGTCAACAATAAAATGCCTAAGACACTGCAAGAAATATAAGCTTTGCTGCCCTTTATTCTAGATTCAATCAATATTATTATTCCCAAAAAATTGTTTTTACTCAACGTAAGTACCAAGATACCTGTACTGATCAACAGCTTCAATTTCCTTGCTATCAATCAGAATTGTTTCTGTTTTCTGAAATCAATAAGCGTTTCTTTAGTATCCTTAAAATTGAAGAAGAGAAAAATACCTTTACACCATGACATAAAATTGGAAATTTCATCTCTGTATTCAAGTTCTGAAGCTTTATCAAAACTCAATGGAGCTGCATCCTCAACAAATTTACCAGCATGACTGGAATGGTATGGTGGCAAAACAATGGGTAATCTTTTTCAAATTATCTTCCCTTCACTAACCCGTTAGGAGCCCTGGTCTGGACAGTACAACATTACACTGACAGTGCAAGTCGTATATACAAAATGTGAGCTGTACATGTTACTTTTACACTTGGAGAAAGTTAACCAGTATAGCCTTCACCTTAACTGAAATGTTCACGCTGCTCATCACTGTCATCAGTACAGTTAGCATATCTTTTCCTTTAAAGGATGATGTATCTAGTGTAATGTCCTGACATATTCGTTCTGTGATTCCATAATATATCAGGGAAGACTATGATTGCTTACACTGCAATAATGAATCAACTGATAGCCATTTCAAGCAAAGCAGTGGGATAAGCTGATTGTACCATTCAGATCGTTTTGATGACATTTCCCACTCAGTAATTTAAGTCTTGCCCAAGATGTTCAAATATCACACATAAATCTGAACCTGAAATCTTAGTTGTATTATTGCTGATTAGGCTATATGCATGCAATTCAGTAGTGCGAAACGTGAAGGTCTTGTATGCAACATGTGAATTACGGCTGCCTGTACTTAGTGGCATTTTTGACAGCAACACAAGATATTGAAAAACAGACAGTAACAGACAAATTATGTCAATAATCACCTACATATCATAATACAATCTTCAAGATACAATTTAAAAAAAGAGTGGAAATCTGAAATCCTTTTTGGTATCTGTAAAGGTTTATAGTGCACGGTAAACAAAATGATTGTATGGATATTTCATTCAAATTTCTATAATGACTGCATTTCAATTATGTTAAATTAAAGCTTTATATTGAAATTGCAATTTTTGGAATTTTGAATATCAGAAACTGATATTTGATCAAGCACAGAGAAATACACATTCAGGGGTACACACCAACTTCAATTTATCATCATATAAATCAAACACAATATATCCATACTAAATCTCAACCTCAATAAGTGTCTGAGTGACTTGCAGTGTCTACATCAGTACATGTAGTTTGTCTTCACAATGATCAGATTATTGTAATAGTCATGTCAAAAGTCTCACTTAATGTCTTTGACTAGGCTTTTTATGTTTCCTTGCCTTAAAGTGACTTTTCAAATTCAAACAAATCAGTAATGTCAATCTTTTTTCTGTTTAGATCAATAGATATCTTAACTGTACATTGTTATATTTTTCTTTGACATTATTTTCTCTTCCTGTTCACATAGATACAAATTTAGAATTTTATTGAAAGAAGTTTCTTTTTTCATTTTGCAGTGTCTACATGTAGTTTGTCTTCACAATGATCAGATTATTGTAATAGTCATGTCAAAAGTCTCACTTAATGTCTTTGACTAGGCTTTTTATGTTTCCTTGCCTTAAAGTGACTTTTCAAATTCAAACAAATCAGTAATGTCAATCTTTTTTCTGTTTGGATCAATAGATATCTTAACTGTACATTGTTATATTTTTCTTTGACATTAATTTCTCTTCCTGTTCACTTAGATACAAATTTAGAATTTTATTGAAAGAAGTTTGTTTTTTCATTTAAACGTGAAAATATAGCATTTAGATAATTTCTTTATCCGTACATTCAAACAAAAGCATTTCAATGCTTTATTTAATAATCTTCTGGAAGTATGAAAATTAAATCCCTATAAATATTTCATATACAGTTAATGAGTTATTCACGGCTCTGTATTAGTCTGTACTCTGTAATGTATAATAGGCAAACTGTAATGCAACTGAGTTGCGTAACAGAGCAAAATGACCAGTCTTCTCTGATGGGAGCGAAGCATTTTGCTATGTTGCTTAACTCAGTTGCATTACAGATTGCCTGTCTGTATATATCGTACAGAATTCTCCAGTCAGTAAATACATCAATCAAATTTTATTCCATGTAAGTTTACATAACGTCTACATGTAAAACATTATAGGTTCAGTTAGATTATCAGTAGCTGTCTACAAGTTGAATAAATAACTTGTCTTTTTCATTCACACATTTACATCTTTGGTTTTGTCGGGTTAATGGAGGTTATTACTAACGAATAATTTATCGCAGTGAGTAGTCAAGTCACAGTAACACCGGGAACGATCAGTTCTGTGTTTTAATGAGGAATGTAAGTAATGGTGTTACTCTTTATATTAGTTAACAGGTTTAAATTAAATAGCCTAAGACCAGTTTCAATGTCTTATTGCCATCCTTTCAAGTTTTCTGTAATAATATCTGTCAATTGTGATTGAATATTCAGAAAGTTGACAGAAGCTCTGTATTTCTTACATTTTTTCCTACCCGTCCCAGCCCTACTCCCTCCCATACCCTCCCCTGACAACCTTGTTTTTGATTCGTACACTGTTGCCGCGTTGGGACACCAGTGTTGGGACACTGTTCCCACTCATATCAAACTGTTATTCAGAAAAAAATGATCCCTGGGCATGCCGTCAGATTCTTTGCATATACTGCTGCTAAACATAAGAACATTTGCAGAGTTTCTGCAGTGAAAACACCTGTGGGAATGTGGGTCTGTGGGAATTCAAGCAGACCTGCACACATCAACATTCTGACAAGGAAACCTGCTGAATTATAAAACACAATAATGGTCATATTCTCATAATATTGTTGAGACAGTCACATCAGGGAATGTACTAGACACAGTAATGACACCTGAATGTGGTGTTCTCTGCCTTCATGTAAAGTCGACTCTGGATATTCATGCTGTCACTCAAAAAAGAATATCAGCATATTCTTGCCCGAAACGTTTACTCTATAGCCTACAGTACATTTGATAAATTGTCCCGAATCATAAGTAGATCTGAATGAAATAGGATCCTATTTACGGACGGACGTAGTACCTTGTAGCACAGATTATCTGAGATAGCAGAGGTGATAACTACAAAATAAGCATTAGATAAACAATCAGGTTTATACCGTGCCCTACATGGAAGCACGAAGTTGTTCAATGTCAGTCGAACCTAAATCTAACTGCACTGCAGGCCGAACAATTCACCTGACAAGATTTTCTTATAAATTATGTATTCTGCAATTCCAAATACCACCTCCGCTGGCATCCAAAGAACTTATGTGAAAATGTGCCGATCACTGAAATACATATACAAAGTTTGAATCACTGTGAACCATGTTTGGAGGTACCATTACCTATGGATCGTCCACCTGTTCTCTGTTGTCACTTTTCAGCCATCTTGTTATCGATTTCCCGGAAGTGACCGGAATCGGGCGAAAATGACAAAGGGACATAACCGATTTTACTTAACACAAATACCACTAATGGTTTTTAATGACCATGTAATTATGTCCCCGATTGTTTCCCATTATTCAGAAGTATATATATACAAGAAGTCTGACTGAATGTAACGCACAAAGATGCCATTTGTGTGGTCACGCACAAAAAAATCCAACGAAACGTCACTTCACTTTCCGATTTCTTGGAAGAGAAAATTTAAACCTTTGACAATGTCAATGAGTCTTTTCTAAACAATTCCCAGTACTAAACGTTTTCGTTCGGATTTCTACATTTTCTGTTGTTTTCTGCAACAACTCATTACAAACATACAGCAGAACTACTGAACGTAGTTGACGGTTGACAAAGTACTTAATAAATGCCCGTTATAAAAAATATATAGTTCTCATTTAATTTTTCAAAAGACCTCTGACTCCCTTGTACGTGAAAATGAAACAGGGTTTATACCTGGGAGAGCCATTAGTGAAAATACAAGATTACTGTTTGACATTGTGGTTGAAACAAAGAATGAACAAAATCATATTCCAGGATTAATCATTTTAATTGTTTGCTTTTGGAGATGCCCTATCCCCCTGCATTTCTTTTTGCAACTGAAATCCTTGTATGTAATGTATGAAAAGAAATAATAATAATGATAATTCTTTACATGAAGTAAATTGTTGTGTACATTGTATATGCTGCTGGAACTCTGGAAGAAATCCATACTGTCTCCAAAGAAAAACCGTCTAACGCAAGGAAAGCAACACCCAACAAACGAAGAACGATTTCAAGTAAAACTAACTGAAACAAGGAAATACATTTCCTGGATTCCCTTAAATCACCAGGGAATCCAATGGCAAAAGGCAATTTGGAGAAAACTAAAACTGAAATACAAAACAACGAAAGCAAGGATATTTCTCCATATTGCTGATTACTTAAAGGCAAAAATAAAGTTTGGGGCTGAAAGAAAAAATGGTATAAACTGTTTAATCATAATGAAAACACTTTTACAGATAACTCAAAAAAGGGCGATGGTGAACATGATAAACGGCTGTTGTGCCCTTAAACCTACAATGATCTTAAGTGCACAGAAATCATGACAAACGGCCTCCCATTGATGCCAATGAAAGGTTCTGGAAACAGTTGTGGTCTGTACCCCGCCACTGTAACCTTGAGGCGCCATGTGTCCGTGATTACGATTATGCAATGCATGAGAAAATAACTGCGCCGGGTTCTTTTGTGTTACATCACACCAGATCACGCCTGAAAAGTGTTATTAAAAAGTTAAAATCTAATTCGGCACCAAAACCGTTATTGGAAACTGTTCCTTTGTGTCCAAACATCATTACTTTATAACTTTAATCATCTCGTGGATTCAGGGGATGTTCCTCCATGGTTCTGCAAAGTTTGCACGATACACCTTCCCAAGAAAGGAGACCCCCAAATACACACTATAAAATCTTCACAGGGTGTTTGACGAACTTCGTGTCATCATACTGCCCTTTCAATAATAAAATTTATACAAACCAGGGGGAGCAAGGAAGGGATGTTGGGATGCAAAGATCAACTTCTTACACGATATGATTTTGGAAGAGGCTAAAACATATCACCGCATCCTCTCCATGTGCGGGATTGACTACCGAAAAAGCATACGACTCTTATGGATGGATTCTGAAGTCTCTTGACTACATTGAGTCCCTGAGCGACTACTTCATTTACTCAGGTCTTTATGGAGTTGCTGGTCGACTCAACTGGAGATGTACTCACAAGGGCATGTGCAGACCTCGGAGTCTATCCCATTCAGAAAATATATTCCAAAATTCAGTCTTTGCAGTTTTGTTTGTCTATAATCCTTTGAGCGTTCTGCTCTATAAAGGCATCCTGGACCTCTACAGAACAGATCCCCAACACGGCTTACTCATCTCCTATACAGGGATGACATCGAGCTCCTTGCCAAAGGAGACGCCTTGAAAACACAGGTTTTCCTTATCAAGTCCTTTTCCAATGGTATAAGCTTGACATTTGGACTTGACAAATGTAATACTCTTCATGCGAAACGTGGCAAGATAGTGAATGATGGATCATCGGTGGAGTTAGAAAGGTCGGGGAGGTACTGAGCATCTTGTGGAAGATGAGACCTACGCCTATCTTGGAATGCAAGTTCGAGACAAGCTCCAGAAAGCCAAAATTCAAGAAATATTTCGTCGGGCTGAGTATACATCTCGTTTGAAGAAAATATGGATTCAACAGAAAACTATGATGTGGGGACAAATTTGTTTTAAATATCTAAGCTTTATGCAAACATGAACCCTAGGTTTTAGTATGTCACTGTATCTTGTGGATCCCATACCTGCTATTGACGGGTATTGTTAATTTCTCGATGACTCGTTCGACGATTTGCAAAATGGTTGATTGGTGCCATGAAAACCATTTTTATAGTTACTCATGTATCAAGTGCTTAAGGTTAGATTAAAGTGATTGTTTGCCTAAAGAGGGGTTACCATATTATTATTTATCCAGTTTTAAATGGATACAATTTCAAATTATAAATTTACGTTTAAGTAAACTATTAAAGTTGTGAATTTTGGTGATCCTTAGCAAAGTGCGAGTAGTATATTTGTTTGGATGATCGTCTAGTAATGCCAGGACTCGTGATGAAAGCAACGAATTATAAATTTACATATGTGGAAACTTAGTGTTACGAACGCTGAACATGTTGTGTTATGGAGCTTACAAAATGCCTTTTAATCGCAAGAATCGTTTGGAAATCGATGACTTTGTACGCAGATGGGTAACCTTGAAAAATCGCCATTTGACAAATGCAAACAGACAAGTGCAGATCAGAGGTTGCGAGGATGTTTAATGTCTCCCCTAGCACCATATCGAGGCTATGGAATCGCTACCAGCAGCAGGGATGAACACGTGACCTTCTCAGATCCGGTAGACCGCGTGTCACCTCTCCTGCCAAAGACCGCTACATCCGGTTGGGCCACCTACGCCAAAGGAGTGACAACTGCTGCCTCCACTGCATCCTCAGTACCAGGACTGCGCAGGATCTTGGACGGGACTCTCCGAAACCCTCTACGAGAGGCAGGGTTGTGACCATGACGTCCTGTTAGACGTTTGTCTAGGCAGCATCGCCAGCTACGACTGCAATGGTTTCGAGTGCACAGGGTATGGCATCAAAAACGATGGGGACACGTATGGTTCAGCGATGAATCCCGATTCATGATCTGCAGACAGGATGGAAGGGCCCGTGTCTACCGCGGAAGAGGTGAACACTTCGCAGCAAATTGCATACAGGAAGTGGACAGATTTGGTGGAGAAAGTGTCATGATGTGGTCAGCCATTTCTCACAACACCAGGACTGACTTTGTGCACATCACGGGGAACTTGACAGCACAGCACTATGTCGATGAGATCGTACCCACCATGGTCAACGCTGTTTCCAACAGGACAAAGCCCGTCCTCATACAGCACGCATCACCACGGCCTTCCTAGGAAACAGCATCTATGTTCTGCCATGGCCTTCCAGATCCCTCGATTTAAACCCAATTGAGCATCTTTGGGATGAATTGGATAGACGTGTGCGACCACAACCTCAGACACTACAACAGCTGGCTGCCGCCTTGGGCCTGAGTGGGCTACAATCCCCCAGGCTGTCATCCGCAATCTGATTGAGTCTATAGGCAAGAGGTGCCAGGCATTAATTGGGTGTGTGGGTGTGTGTGCAAGTGTCACAGGGAAGGGGTGACAGCTAGTAATAAGAAAACCTCAACCATTCGATTTGTGTATTGGAGTAGTCATACTGGGATAGAACCCGTACAATGATTAATCACTGCTTATCTTGGTCAGCGGATTTGTGTTTACGTATGTAGGCTTATTTAAGCAGACGGCATACACCATCACCTTGGCATGAAATATTTGTTCAAAGGATTGTCTGATAATTGATAGGTGTGTTTTTATCTCAGTTAATGGCTTTTTTAAAGGCACGGCAGAAATCATGAACATACTTGCCAAGTGTACCTAACGACTGCATGAAGTGTGGCGCTCTCGGGCAGGCAAACCAGATTAGGTGTGACCTTCACCCCCTTCTTGTACGTTGTGAACTCATGACATTTCCGAAAAGTTACGTCTTCAACTGCTCAATATATGATCCCTTTTATGGCTGCTCTAATTTCAAACATGCTTGTTCATTAGGACAGGTCATAACTTGGCTCAAGGTGTGTGTGTGTGTGTGGTGATTTTTATGGAGAAGCATGTACAATGTGAATGCCCAACCACACACACACAAATTTTATGTACAACGTAATTGACCCTTCCTGCATGTCATGTACAAAGTCAATGACACAAGAATTTTCTTTGTAGATTTTCTCTCTTGATGCCAAAAAATCACTATAACTTCATGGTTACACTGTAAATCACTATCTTCAAGACTCTTTCTGGCAATGCATGCAATCCTGACTTCTTATATGTTTGAATAATGATGAAGGAACAGTCAACTCTAGGGTATGCATGACCACATCGTTTTGCACATCTTTCAAGACACATTTGGACAGAGATCTGGTGAAACAGTTACAAATTGTACATCTTGTAGCCAACTCTTGAGACCTCCTTTGAGGGGGATCAGTACTGGGTAGTAAAACTGCAGTTGTTCAAGGCCTACAATTTAACCCTCATGTCCAAGTTGGACTGAGTACAGATCAAACGCTAGTGATAGGCACAATGTTGAGAGTAAAGGTGAATGACTTTCACATTAACCAAAGCATTTGCTTTAAAAGCCATGATCTAAGATACTATAAAATGGTATTTAGGCAGATATAATACTGTTCAACAGGTGTAAATATCTTAAATTTCAGAAGCAAATTGGACTGTACAGAGACAAAAGACTTTTGACTCTGAATCTAGGGGAAAAGGGCTTTATGTTTCCTTAAAATACCATGATCTGGGACACTATAAGGCATTTAGGTAGATATAATGGTATACTTCATATCATTTTAATAGGATAGCTATGGTCAAGTGGGACCAAACACCATAGAGGCTATGTTAAAGGTCACATGCAATGCAAAACAACTTTAGAGATTGTCAGTTTCAAGTCCTGCTTTGTACTTGGACGAACGACAGTTTCCAGCAACGCAGTAGTTCACCATCTCAGTATTTGTTGATTGGATCGAATGCAAATGCAGAGAGCATGTATTTACAAAACCCAACATCTCTATATACATTTATGGATAACAACTTCTTTTATTGTATATGATGCGACGTTTCGGTATGGACTCTTACACGGTTGTCATTCTTGCTTGACAACGGTATAAGAATCCATACTGAAACGTCGCATCATATACGATAAAAGAAGTTGTTATCCATAAAGACTGACTGACTGAGTTTGGTTTTACGCCGCTTTTAGCAATATTCCAGCAACATCACGGCGGGGACACCAGAAATGGGCTTCACACATTGTACCCATGTGGGGAATCGAACCCGGGTCTTCGGCGTGACGAGCCAACGCTTTAACCACTAGGCTACCCAACCGCCCCTATCCATAAAGAATCTTACTTTCTTCTTACTCACTATACTTCTAAAATGTCAATCAAACAGATCATCTCTATATACACACACACAATGAGCCCTCAGCGTATAGGCAAATGAACCAGCCAATGAAAAGACTTTATTACACTTGAGTGCAAACCCACACGCTCTGACTGGGTTTGGTCTCCTGGGTGCTTCGTTTTGTGGGAAGTAAACCCAAGTACAAAATATTGCACTTTTGATTTGCAATTGTACGCTTATAATTTTGTTATAATTATTGGTAACGGCCAGTTGTCTGTGGTCTGTGTTTGCCGCGATTAGGACCCCATCGCGGGGGATCGACTTATGCACGAAACATACCATTTTGACACTGATTTTAAGGGTCAAGTTTGGGGGTCGTCTTTTCCATGGGGTCGTCTTATAGACGGTCATATACGGTATTTTTTTCTTCACAATCAGCAATGTATATTATATGTCATGAATAAGTGATAATTGTGTTTGAATTATGTTTGTTTTTTTGGTTGCAAGTGACCTTTAAGAATAGAGGGGAAATTGTGTTTCACATTGACACAAATTCATTTTAAGTAAGATTGTGCTGTGGTCTTTCAAAGAGTTATTCGGGGTGGATTATATTGTTCTGAATATACTGCACAGGTGGCAATAACCATGATAAATTCAATCCATGTTTATCTGTGTCAATGAACGAGATCACAAATACATTTTATATCATGACATAGAAATAATTGCAGAAGATGATGGTGAAATATGCAAGTTTAATGTAAACATGTTCAGCAGTATTGGTCAGCCAGTCGAACCCTCTCAGCCTGCTCTGGTTGCAGTGCTTGAGAGGCATGTTCCTCTCTCCATTCAGCCAAGTTCTTCCCACCAAGCTCCTCATGTAGCTGCTGTTGTTTCTGCTTTGACTTCACCACTTCTTCATTCATTCTGTAACCAGAATATATCAATTTGCAACTCTTCACAAAATTAGTATTGTAGTTGGCATACACAAAGTTGGTTTGTTTTCACAATGTTGGTGGTCTTTATCATACTTTCAGCAATAATTTCAGTCACAGTTCCTATTTACTACTAACCTGGAAAAAGCCCAAAATATGTAAAGAAGAATAATTCCGTTCTTTTCATAGGTTCAGTGTTTTTCATTTCCAGTCATATTCAGTGAAGGTCAAAAGCAAGTAATATATGCATATGCATTAAACATCAACATCATATTTCTTCAGGTGCAAGAGCAGGCCCGGTGAACCTGAGAAATATATTTTATTTGGAATTAATGAACAGAAGGAAGTGTATCTGAAACCATTTTATTTAACCAAAGGTAATATACTCATGGAACCGAATAAGGGAACACATGAAAGTACAGGTGTTCCTTTATTTTTTCCAGGTTTCTTAACAAGGTATGTATTGCACTGTGGGTGAAAATCTGGAAATAAATAAAGGAACACTTGTACATTCATTTGAGTATTGCAACAAGTGTGTCTATTCTTTACCGATAAATTGATAACATGTGATGTTGTAAATTCAAATGTAATTTAGGCGAGTTATTTTGTTTGACAACGTTGAAATTGGGGAAGAAACAAGTACCACACCATGTTGATTTCCACTAAGATAGACATAGGACAAGACAGAACCTTTTCTAATATTTGACCTAAGTTAGGATATCCTAGCGCTAGGATACTTTTCGTGAAATCGGAGAATAAGGTAGGACACCTATCCTAGACCCCCGGATCAAAGTTACGATATCCTAGGGCTAGGATCCTTTCGAGAAAAGGGGCCCAGTTTTTTTTTTAGTTTATGTTATCAATTTATCGATAATGAATAGACACACTTGTTGCAATACTCATATTCTTTAGATCTATAAAGGAGATTTGTTCAATTCTTACCTATTCTATCCTATTTCATTCACAACATTGCTACCTTCTGTCACATTGCTGTGAAATGTCAATGTCAAGGCCAACTTGATAAGGGAAGTAACTCCTGTTTATTTCCCAGGTGAATTTTCACTTTGTGAGATGACGCATAATGGGAGTTCAAGTCATGATTTTCATTAAAAAAAAACAAATAAAATGAAAATAGTTTTTGCACATATCTTTCAAAATCTGTTGACTAAGTGAATTTGATGTGAGGAAAATATTGAACATATTAACATATAACAATACTTTGTTTCTGGAAGTATGGTAATTCGAACAAATAGATAATAAAAGATCATTAAATATCTTAAAGCTATTCGAGTACGAGTTCACTCTATTTTTCTGAATGCAAGATAACTAAAATTAATTATAATTTCTTCTAGATCTAAAAGTCCTTAAAGAGGACGTAAAAGTACACTCACCCATGAGTTCCTCCCTTGCATACTTTCCTGACCAACCATACTTGTCACTTTCTCTGTAAAATGCCCGACAATTGGATCTACCGTGAAATCCGAAGTGCCATAGTGGGGAGGTTGGGAGGGCTTGACATCATGAGTCAGGATAAGTATAAAATATCAATTTTACTAAAAAAATTACATATTTTCCCTTATGCTTAATATGCTTCCAGAATCCGACGGATTGGTGGTGGGTCAGGCCACAACTTCGGATTAATCGACTGTCCTAGATACGTCCCGTATCTCCCCCCATGGGAAGTATGTAACGGCAATTCTAATGATCCTGTTCTTCCAACTTTCATCTGTCAACTCGGAGGGACCACATCTTGTCAGACTTCTTTAAGACGAGTGAATCTAACAGATTCATGTGGATTTAAGATATAGTAGTTTGTCTTACTAATATCTATAGCAACTCATGTATTATGATATCTCCTTAATCATAATAGTTGCGACCCTTTCCACGTACGAGTATTTCCTATACAAGTACAGGGTCTAAATCACTCATGCTAGCCTGCTCTAGACGTACGCATGGACTCCCAACCAAGACTCTTCAGAGTGAAGGTTATCATTCAGTCATGTGATATAAAGGGTGAGATTCCAATTCAACGTCTCTGTGGCACTGTTAGTTGTTGTGCTACAACAAGTGGGCCAAATTAGTGAATGCCGGAGATCTTCAGTAGCAATATCTCTCAGGTAGTGGTTGGCAAACACTGTATCAGACTTCCAGAAGCAGCCCTCCATTATCGATGAGATCGAGCAATTTCCGTGCAGAGCAAGTGAAGACACCAGTGCTCTAACTTCATGTGGGTTGGATGCTTGTGGAGGTTAAGTCCTGCTGCTTTGTAAGCCCTCAGTATAACGGCTCTCATCCATACTGATATTGTTGTTCTTGAGACTTCTGTAGATGTCTCTGTAGACAAAGGAATGAATAGGCGTTTGAATTGCTGTCTCCTTATCCTCGTCTGGTTCAGGTAAATCTTCAATGGTCTGACTGGGCATAAAGATAAATCTTGCAAGTCCTCCGGCCCAAGAATCGTTGATAATGCTTGAGCGTGAAACTGTCTATCTGGTTGACCAGGTAACTGATTCTTTGCTACAAAATCCCATCTAAGTCCTAGAGGAGCTGTGGCATGATGTCCATTATCGAAACGAATTCGTCCAAAATCCAGCGCATGTATCTCTGACACTCGAGCTGCCGTGGCTAAGGCGAGTAGAAATAGAGTTTTCTGTGTAAGTAGTTCGAAAGTCGTTTGCTCCAAAGGTCCATAAGCATCACTGGTAAGATGTTGTAATACTACATTGAGATCCCACGCAGGTGCCTTGAATTTCTGTTGCTGATCTTCCAGCTTAAAGGAGCGTAATAACGCAAGTAGTTCTGGTACTTTTGTTAGCTTGATGCCTGTCTTCATTGTGAGGACTGTGCTAATCGCCGCCAAATATGTGGATAGGGTCAAACCTTTTAATCTCCTCGTCTGTCTCAGATGACACAGATAATCCGCCACTTGAGGATGAGATGCTTTCATTGCTGTGAAGTTTTTCGTCGTGCATAGAGTTCAATTCCTGCCACTTGTCGTCACACAAGTTACGAGTTGATCTGCGAAGGGCTAAAGCGACTGCTTTCGCTGCTCTGGCAGAATATCCTCTTTTTCAAGCAAGTCTTGATACTGTCACATTGACGGATTCCTGTGAGCTTGCTTGGTGTGTGGATGAATGAACCTCGGCCACTCTGGTAGTTTCAGGGTTGGATTTCCGAGTTCTTGAATGAGGTCTGGAAACCATACTCTTGCTGGCCAGTAGGGCGCGCCCAAAATCAGTTGCAGGATTGTCGTCTGCTTGATTGTCTCGAGTACTTGAGGAAGTAGAACCGGAGGCGGGAACGCGTATACATGCGTTCAGTCCTTCCCAAGATATGTTCAGGGCGGCTGTTGCCCATGCTAGTGGATCTGGTACTGGTGAGACAAATGTTGGTATCAGTTTATTGAAGTTTGTGGCGAACAGATCTATGAGCGGAGATCCTAACGTCTGTATGATGAGCCGAAATGCCTCCGGGTGAAGCATCCATTCTGTCGGGGATGGTTGTTTTGGGCGAGATAGAGCGTCTGCCAAGATATTCTTTGCTCCGGGAATGTGACACGCCTTATCCAAATGTTCAAATTGTCCAATATGTCGAACAGTTGGAGCACGAGCTGTAACAGGTTTGACGATCTTGTTGAGCCTTGTCTGTTGATGTAAAATGCCACTGTGGAATTGTCCATGTGTACTGTCAATATTTGTTGATCAGGAAGCTTGACCAATGTTGTAAGGCGTTGATCACTGCTTTCATTTCCAGTAGACTGATGTGAAGAAGTTGTTCTCTTCTCGACCACTTTCCTGCAGCTATCTTGTTCCCGAGAGGAGACACATCCACGTAGAGATGTGTTGCAAGCCGGCTCTTTTAAATAGGTTCCTCCACAAACATTCGACCTGTGAGTCCACCATAACAGGTACGGCTGTAGACTTTCCGTCAGGGTTATCAGCTCTGTACTCAGAGGCCCAGATAAGCTGCGTATCCGGGTAAATTATGCATAGAAAATTTCCAATTACGCATTGAATAATAATTGTTGCGTACCAATTACTCATTTAAAATGTTAGATACGCAAAAAGTTTAAAACAAAAGCATACGGAATATATTTATAAAAATCGCTTGCGTGATGAAAAAAGACATCGATTGGTATCAAGTTGTACTGTTAGTATAGAACTAGTGTTGTACAATCAGTACAGGATGAGTGATTTTTATTAAACCATTTCCATTATACTTAAGTTTGGTTTTGATTAGGTATGACATAAGGCTGTACATACCCGCTTAGTAAACTTACTCAATGACATAATACTTAGGTGAGTAAAATGACTGAAATACCCACTGCTTTCAAATATGTGTGTAACGGAAAATGAAATACCCACTCAACATTTATAATACCCACTCCAAGAAAATACAGTGGGTACAGTACCCACATGAGCTAAATCTTATGTGGAGCTCTGTGTACTGTTGAGGTGGGCATTCAGAAATCGCTGTGGTGGGCGCAACTGTAATCTTCCTCTGCGGGTCAAATCTTGCGCTGAGGTGAGTAAACCCAGAAGACACTGCCATGTTTGGAGCTTCAGCAGAGAGATGACTGCTTGCGGGATCATGGCTTGTATCTTCATCCAACGATCTTCTGGGACCATGATGCGATTCTCTGTTGTGACGAACCTTATTCCTAGAAACTGTAGATCCCGTTTGGGTTCCAACTCCGACTTTAGTAGGTTCACTAACCATCCTAGCTGGGTGAGCAGTCTGATGTTGAAGTCCAGCTGCAGCTTGAGTTGGCTGGCTTCCTGATGAACTTGTATTCTGTCATCCAGATAAAAAGCACTGCGTAGACCTTGATGATGTAAAAAGGCGACGATGGGCTTGGTCACTCGCGTAAACTACCATGGGGCCGAAGATATTCCAAATGGCAGGACTTTCCACTGGAAATGTTGACCTTTGAACAGGAATCGTGGATACTTTCTTGAGTCCTGATGTATGGGAATGTGAAGATACGCATCC